TATATATATATATATATATATATATATATATACACACACATTTTTACAATATTTGTAAAGATCATTATATTTAATGCATATATTGCATATGATATATTAATTACAAAATTAAAATAATTATTGCTCTTATTTGTTCTTAATATATGTTTAAATGTAAATACATTTTTACTTATAACAAATTTATATATTTATAATGTTATTTAAAGTTTGACTTTAAATAATATTATATAAATTGAAAATTTATTATATAATTAAATAGTAAATATCGAAAAAATAAATTTAAAAATGTAAATTAATAATTTTTGATTCTATATTAAGAAATATAACTATTTCATGTAAATATATTATAAAATTCATTTTCAATCTAAAAAAATAATAAAAGAAATCTAAATTACAAAAAGATATTAAAATTAAACAATTTCTTGAAACTTAATAGTAATAGTAATATAATAATATATAGTAAGTATCACTTTTTTCTATTAATAAAATTATATTCTATTATTTTTTCTTCTTAATATTAAGATAATAACTAATCTGATATAAGATAAAAATAATGTAAAAATAAAACAAAATATTATACAGAGTATCCCATCACATCGAAAAATTGTTTAAATAGATAATCTATATTCTATACATGAAAATAATAAAAAAAAAAAAACATATAAACATATGCTTTAATTTTGTTTTCGAATTATACTTATTTTATATTAAAATAATTTTATCAAAAAATTAATTGAACTATTTANTATATATATATATATATATAAAATGTTTATATATATGTTTATATATATATAAAATGTTTATTGACAATGTCGAAATAAATTTAACAAAAAAATTAAGGCTTTTAGAAAATAATACTTGAAGAAATAAAAAAGATAAAATTAATTAATGATGAAACATTTAGCTCATGTTTGAATGCAAAGTCATTTTGAATATTTTTAATGGAGATAAAAAAAGATATGGTAAAAGAAATGTATAATGTAAAAAAGAAATTTATTATATGAAAACAAAATTAAATAGAATATGAACTTTTTTTATTGTTTTCATGTGTAGATTTATCCATCAAAGTATACGGGACATGCTGTATATAAGAAATTTAAATTATTTTTAAAATAAAATATATTACATGCTATAATAATAGTTATTTAGTTATGAAGAAACAATTACCAAGTTTTATAAAAATTTTATATCTATCAGCTGTGATTTTTTAAAGAAAACCTAAAAAAATATGTTTTTTTATCAACTACCATCAGATGCATTTGAAGATGAATCTTCAAGTTCTGGAGCATCAGGACCTCTATTTAATATACTTAAAAGATCTGTGACATGCCTTATAGTAAAATCTGGTTGTGGATCTTCTCTTAATAAGAATGGTTTATCCACTGTTGGAATCCAAATTGTACTACCTAAACCTGCTTCTATTCCACCTAGAAAAATAATGACAAATTATTTTTTTATGATATTAATTTAAAATACAAATTATTGGTATTTGAATATAATATTTCTTAATAATTAATGCATTGTGTAATGAAAATATACGATAATAATATAATACCTAGGATATCAGTTTCCAATTTGTCACCAACCATTACACAATTATCTGGTTTAACATTTAAAAATCGACATGCTTTTCGAAATATTTCTCTTTCAGGTTTTTCCCATGGTAAATCTCCTGATACAAGAATTATATCGAAATATTGTTCGAGTGAAAGTTTTCGTATTTTTTCCCATTGTGCATTAGAAGGACCATTTGTAATCAAACCTAAGAGATATTTTATCCTCAACTGACGAAGCATAGAAATTACATCTGATGCCAGCGTCAAATAATAATATCGTAGATATAACCATCGTTCGTAAATTTTTCTTGCTAGATATGAATATTTTTCTCCAAGAGCTTTATTCCACAAAGTTATGCGCCAAATATCCAAAGTATGAACTACATTGTCAGGACATTTTCTAAAGAGCTTCAAATATGTTGTTGTAATCTTTATAGATATATCTTCAGGAATACCATATTCTTGTGTTAGTTCCTCAGCCAACTGCAGATAAAGTTAAAATATCATTTATTAGATGTTATTCATTTTATAATATATAAATCAAGCAATATTATAAAATAATGAACAAAATACGAAATACACACTAAAGGAAAATGAATGATTTCCACATTCAACACAGTCTAAAATAAGATATTTTAATAATTAGAAAAAATTATAAATGTTAAAAATAAACTCTATAAATATATTCAAAAATCACATATTGAATGTGGATTTTAATGGTTGAACCAAGTTCTTGGGAAGAAGGATACAAACGATCAGTTAGGAATTTAGGTCACTTAATTCAGTTTTTGATGATTACCTAGAAAATGCATTGATTCATTGAAATACTCGAGCCGATTAGTGGACACTCGAAGTGGCACCCGCGGTCGTTGCTGTAATCACAACAAAATCAGTTGTGCCAACAACAAATTTATATTATTTTAACTTTCAAAACTTTATTCAATTGGATATTAATTTATACTTATTACTGCAGATTTTGTCATGTATCATGTTAAAATAAGAGATAATTTATACATAATTATAATTTAGTTTAGAAGTTTATCTAATTTTTCTAATTGTTAATAATTTTTAAATAGAAAGGAAGGTAATATTTTAAAAGATAAAATTTTAAAAACAATTTATTTTAATAAAAAAACCATTTATTATTTTACAATGCCATTCATGTATACATAAATTTATCAAATATGTACATTTTTAAAGTATGTTAATTTTAAATATTTTATTATCAAACTTACAAATTTTCAAATAGTCATTTTTTCAAAATTTTCAATTTTATGAATTAATATAAAATGTGAAAAAAAATTTATTTCAACATATATTATATCAATATTTAAATTCGTAAAATTATTTAATAAATAGAAATTGATAAATCTTTTGCTTGCCAAAAAACTATTCTTACATATGATTACTAACAAAATTTATATTTGATCTATGAAATTTCAGGATTGCAAAATTGTAGCTACTGAAATTAACTACTTAGTATATAAATATTATTTAATAAAATGAATTATTTTTATTCTGTTCTTATTATAATATGAACATATATATATATATATATATATGTATACTTAAAATTTAGAATATATATAAATTCAAATAATTTGATAATAATTTTGTTTTATAAACAATATAATATAAAAAACATATATAATATGTATACACAAATAAACACATTACTTGATAACATAAGAATGGATTAACTATTTCAGCTATTTTATCAATATATAAATATAAATATTTTCATTCAAAATATAATAGAATGTTTTAGTCTCCAAAGAGATGTTTTCCAAGTTCCATCATACGATGATTTCTGCATACAGTTAAAGCTCCACGTTTCTTCAAAACAGAAGCAACATTTTCATCTGCTTTAACCAAATGACATAAAAGATCTTCAAAAGCAAATTTTACATTTGGCTGAAGACTTCCTATCTTTATTTTCTTGAGAATTTCAATAATTTCTTCTACCCAACCTGACTCAAGAGTAAATTGTGAAAGCCAAGGTATGACTTGTAAGACTCCAGCCATTGTTTGCATTCCAAGAAACCATAATTCCATAAGTTCCAACCACTTTTCTTTATATGACATGGCAACAACAAGTTCAGTTGGATCATTGCTTTCATCAATTATATATGCATCCCATAAAAATCTTATAGTAGCTTGAATATATCGACAAATAGAAAAATCATTTTTCTTAATACGTATTGCTTGTTGTTTCAATAATAATAATCCCAAAACTGCAAGATGACCATGCAATACTAGATTTTCAGGAATTTGTTTAAGTTCTGGAAGATTATTGAAAATAAATTTCAATAAAGAAATAAATGTTGGTGATTCTTCTACTAATTTTGCTTCTAATACAGTAATGTTCATTAAAACATTGCACACGGAAACCATAGCTGTCCTTGAATCTTTTATTTCTTCTGATAGATGAAGTTCTAAATCTTCTTTTTCTGGTTCTTTTAAAATTTTTAATCTTTCTGATTTTGGTATTGGTGGTTTTTTTTGATGAACAATTGTCCAATGATAAGATAAACATTCAAACAAGACTTCTTCTTGTTTATGTTGAATTAAAATTTTTCTTGCATCTTCTTCTACAGCTAAATAACATAATGCTGGTAATAAAAGTCTCAATAAATCAATTTCACTTAAAGGATCATGAATAATTGATTCTCCAGATGATGTTGCTTCATCATTTTTAAGTTTTGCATTTGCTTTAGCCTTTTCTGTTAATTTTCTATTTCTATATGCATAAAATGTATCATTAGCTATAGTTAAAACGTAAGGTAAAACTGTATAAACTTGAGAACGCATAGCTGTTGTTTCCTGGGCAAGCCATGCTGCTAGTACTCTTACTACAGCACAAATAAATATTCTTTCTTTAATATCTGTTATTTCTTTCATTTTGGATACTGCTGTGAGTAAACCTATAATTGCAGCAAATGCTCCTTTTAAAACAGTATATAATGACTGTTTTTCTTTCTGATCTAAGTCCAACTGATCATTGGTAATATATGCAAGAGAAATTTCAATAATAATAAAACAAGATGTTATTAAATCTGCATTTGTCATTATACTTTTCAATTGTTTTCCTTCTATTTGCATTCTAACTTCTATAGATGTTAGTTGAATTAATAATAACAAAAATATTTTTGGTTTTTCTTTATCTAATAAAGTCCATTCTGCTCCTAATAAATCTAGCATTACAGAAGCAAGTTTTAATGCTGGATCACGTTGATTTTTACCTATTTTTGATCCAAGAATATCAGATAAAGCTTTATGTATGCTAGAAGGCCAAGATTCTTCTTTAGCAGTTTTACTAATTACGTCTTTTGTACAAGACATTAGTAAAGCTTGTAAAATTGTACATAATTCAAATTTTCTTTCTGTATGATCTGTTTCAAAATCTAATGCAATCTTATTTATTATAGCATGAAAAGGTGCAGTATCTGTTGCATCCCATGCTTCTGTACTAAATCTTTGAACTAAAGTAACTAAAATGTTCAAAGCCTTATCTGTTTGAAAGCTTTTTTCTGAATAAATATCACACATTTTTGCAATAGCTTTATGCTCAATTAAAACTTGTTGTCCAGGAGAATATTGTGCAATATTTTGCAAACATGTATATGCTTCACTAACAATAATTAACATATTATCATCTGCATCTTCATCAGCTTTTGATACAATTTCAAGTAATGCAGGTACATGAACAATCATGTCAGGGTGAGAAGCTAATTCTGATTCGCCACAAAATGCAGAAAGTATAGATAGTGCTACAGATTTATATACTTGTGGAGGACAATCTACAGGAACTACTTGTGTAGATAACAATTTTGTTAAAAATTTAGTTCCAATAGCTTCAAATAACATTTTTTTTTCTGTTACTGTACAATCTTTACTATCCACCAATTTTGTAATCATAAATAAAGCAGCAAATTTTTCTGAATCAGATTCAACAGACTTTAAAATAGTCACATGCTTTTTTACATTCTTTGAAATACTCATGGTTATAATTTACTTTATTACAATTTAAAATGTAATTATAATTTCAATATTTCTATAATTTTATTTTTTTTATATGATAACAATCTCCCAAATAAAATATAAAGTATTAGAATATTAATATTTACCCAATAATATTTAACAAAGATTTAATGAAACTTGCATCTTTCACATGTCACAGCTAAAAGCCAACTGGCAGTACTCCCAAACTTCCAAATCAAACCCCTTAAGACTAGCCTTGCCCTTTGACACACTCACTTAAGCAGACAGAAATAAAGTTGTACTACCACAAATACTATTCCACAAACATGTATAATTATTATTCAAATATGAATTGTTATTAATATAAGGTTAACGATTTTCTTTAGTTTTTTTTAGTTTACGATCAATTTTTAGTTTATCAATAATATCAATTGCTTATTTATTAAAAAATAATATTAAAAATTATTCAAAATAATTTTATTTAATAGAATTTCATTGGAAAAATATTTTAAATATACATATAATCCTAGCATAACCTTTTCCGCGTAATACAACGTGTGAATAAAATTGCGTTATACAACTAATTGATATCTTAAGAACGTCAAAATCTTTAGTAACGTGCTTACACGCTTTATCTACGTTATGTTGAGCGTCTGGACAGTAGGATCGGTCGAAAATAACCGTCCGAGAGAAAGCACTATATCAGGGAGTCGGCTCGTATTACACAGAAGTTTCTATTTTCGTCGATCTTCGTATCCAAACGAAATTGAGAGATTAAATGTAAATTTAATTACCATAAGATATTTTTTGGAACAATACAAAATCTATTATAAAAGAAGAAATATATAAAATAATTAATAAATTAACAAAATGAGTGACCTTTACATTTTTCTAATTTCGAATAAAAAATTGAACTACTTTTCGCGCACTCTCCAGGAATGACATATATATATGTATATATATATACACATACACACATTTCTAGTATATTAACCAATACTGACCGTTTATATATGTACACGCATACAGTTTTTGACACCAATAAAATTTCAAATATTTTAGCATACCTTTCGACATGTTTGATTGTCGCCTTTTCTGGTTTCGATGAGAGTATTGTCCAGATCAAAAAACACAGCGCTTATAGTTATGTTTGATGAACAAAAATGCTTCTTATGCAAAGTCGCCATTTTTATTGTATATAATAAATATGTTGTCAATCCAACGATGTTTCAACAAAGAATCGCGCATGAAAACATGTAGTGTTCATATAACAGTCCCCTTTTAAGAACACTTTAGGGATAAATATACAATTATCTTAATGGTCAGACGTCAGAACAGATATAATCTGTCTCGTCTCGACCTAATGCCTTTCGTTCCTGACCTTTTTCTCTTCCTTGATTTCATTTCGAATGAAGAGACATCTTTAATAGAAACTTATAATGTTGATTGTCGATAAATGCGTAATCTAGTTTTTAGATTAAATTATATAGATTTACAATAAAATGAAGTATTATCAGCAGAGTTAATTAAAAATATAAATTTTTATTTGTATATTTTTTTATTTTAGTTCATATATTTACTTTGAATATGATAATAATATTATTAATAACACAATTGTCAAATATTAATAATATTAATAATAAATATAAATATATTAGAAAAATTTGTAAATTACAATAAATTATTAAATATTAATTTTTTTACTTAATTATTTATGAATTTAGTTAAACAGTATATTATTTTTTAGAATAATAAATAATATTAAATAATGCAAATTACATAAAACTACTTTGACATCAGTAATGGCGTCATAATATTTTGGCGCAAAGTTAATACTTGCTTTGAATTCTTATTTTTGCATTAATAATTTTTATTATTTAAAGTGTATATTATATCATAAAATGTCAGCTATGGCATCTACAGCTAGTCTTCAAGGAGATGAAGAATTTGAAGAATATAATCCACAAGCAAAATTAATAAAAACTTTAGAAGTAATTTGTTTTTGTAACCTATATATATCATTTCTTTTTTTCATTATAATTTTTAAATATTTATATAAAAGCATTTATATGATTAATACTATATATACTATATATACTATATTAAATTATAGAAATTATTTAATATATTTTTTGTTTAGGGAAATGGCATAACAGCAGGAGACGTAAAAAAATTAGAAGAAGCTGGTTATTATACTGTGGAAGCTGTAGCATATGCTCCCAAAAAATGTTTAATTGCTATCAAAGGAATTAGTGAAGCTAAAGCAGATAAAATTTTACAAGAAGCATCAAAATTAGTTGTGATGGGATTTAAAAGTGCGACTGAAATTCATCAAACTCGATCAAATATAGTTTTTGTAACTACTGGTTCTAGTGAATTAGATAGATTATTAGGAGGTGGTATAGAAACAGGTTCTATTACAGAAATATTTGGAGAATTTAGATCAGGAAAGACTCAGTTATGTCATACACTTGCTGTCAATTGTCAATTACCTATAGATATGGGAGGTGCAGAAGGAAAATGTCTTTATATAGATACAGAAGGAACTTTTAGACCTGAAAGATTAATTGCTGTTGCTGAAAGATATAAAATTGCAGGAGATTCTGTATTAGATAATGTAGCATGTGCTAGAGCTTATAATACAGATCATCAAACTCAACTATTAATTCAAGCTAGTGCTATGATGACAGAATCTAGATATGCATTATTGATAGTAGATAGTGCAACTGGTTTATATAGAACTGAATACTCTGGAAGAGGAGAATTAGCTGCTAGACAAATGCATTTAGGCAGATTTCTTAGAATGTTACTTAGACTAGCTGATGAACATGGTGTCGCTGTTGTTATAACCAATCAAGTTGTGGCACAAGTTGATGGTGCAGCTAGTATGTTTGGAGGAGATCAAAAAAAACCAATTGGAGGTCACATCATAGCTCATGCAAGTACTACAAGATTATATCTACGTAAAGGTAGAGGTGAAACTAGAATATGTAAAATTTATGATTCACCTTGTTTGCCTGAAAGCGAAGCAATGTTTGCAATAAATACAGATGGTATTGGAGATGTTAAAGAATAAAAGACTTATTATTTTTCTAAAAATCTATATTTGTAAAAAAAATGTTTAAAATATGCCTTACAAAAAAAATAATTTAATTTTTGTATTTAATATAATTACACTTTAAACTTTAAAATTATCTAATTTGTTTTATTTTATAAAAATAATGAATAAATAACATTATTATTAAATAACTATTGTGTAATATACAAAACTGTAATGAAAAAAATTAAATATAAAAAAAAGAATATTTTATATAATTTAAAAAGAATAATTTTATATAATATTAAGAATATATTAAACATATAATATAATTTATCATATTATATAAAAAAATTTAACTTGTTTATATTTTTAATAATAAATTTGAATTTTATATGAAATATATATATATATATATTGTAAAGAAAAATTAGAAAATTTAAATTAAAAAAGATAATTTAGAATCCATTATTTATTATTCACTTGTAACTTTTAATAAGTTTAAGAACTAGATTATCTAGGAAATTTTGATAATTGTGCTTTAAAGATTTAAAAAAGGATAATTTATTATGTAATAATTTAATTATAAATAAGTTTAATTTTGTATATATGTATATATAAAAATACAATTAGTTGTTTTTATTAATATTTTTTGGTTATTTTGGATAAATTATAACGTTTAAATTATAATTTAATAAATGCGGAGATATGTTGTACACGTGGCCATTTTATTGGCAGAAGATTGTTTCGAAAACCAAGCTTCATTTCATACGGACTTTTTCATTTAATATAACTATTAAAATAAAGAAAAGTGGATCTATACTTTTAAATACAAATAAAAAAATTAAGCATTTCGAAAATAATTTTATTTCAAGGTGGGTTATGTATCGT